TCTGCCCCATCCACGGCAAGCGCAGGCCCCGGATCAGGGCGGGGGGGAGAGCCTGGCTCCTGGGGGCTCCCGACACACAACTGGGGAGCCCCAGAGCCTGCCCAGGGGGGCTCCACCACCTGTGAATGCTGCTGCAGCACCGGCCACCACACCGCGGCACAGAAGTCACCGTCTGCAAGGCTCTGAGGGCCACGTCCTGCAGAAGGGACAGCTGAGTGCTGCAGCAGGTGCGTTCCTGGGCAAAAGCGCTGCTATTTATGATGATCCTCAATTTTCAGCCCATTTCTTCACCTGGAAATGACACCTGGGAACAGCTCACAGCTGCTGTCCTGGTTTTCTGCTGAGCAGCTCCAAGAGCTGAAATGGAGCGACTGCCCCTCAGAGGTCGGTTTGGAGCTGCAGCATCCAGGGCTGTGTCCCCTTCCCCAGCTGTGCAAGGCACCGAGACCTTCCCTGCAGGGGAGGGGCCGGGGCTGAAATGCCCCCCTGGGGCAGGGACCCTGGGCAGGGTCTGTGCCCTGGTGTGCGCGTCCCAGCCCAGGGCCGTGGGGAGTCTCAGTGCTGGGGGTGACGCTGCCGCGGTGCAGGAGCCCGGGCTCCCTGAGCTCCTCATTTGGGAGCAGCCGGCACCAGAGGGGTTTCTTTTTTTTCTGCGTGTGCACAGCGGGGTCAAAGAAGAGCTGGAAACGCTTGGACGGGTTCTTGTTCGCAATTAATGTGGCTTTATTATTAATGTGTTGGGCTCCTCTGACAGCAGTTAGTTACAGTGATTACATGGAAATGGGCAGGACAGAACTGAAGGAACTGAATTCGAAGAGAAATGATGCTGAAGAAAAGAATCAGGGCTCTGTTCTTACACATTTAGCATAGAAGAAGCTAGGAGCACAAGTTGCCATTTCAATACAGTTAAGACGTTCACTTCTTTAATTATAGGTTTAAAATAGTATTTTGTACCTATTACATACAGGAAGATTACGCGTTGTTGCCCACATGCAGAAACAAGCAAAGCAGAGTTTAACTGTTTCTCTCTATAGTGTTGTGTTACCTCTGGCTCTGGGTGGGTTCTGCTGGCTCCTGCAGGCGAAGCAGGGTCAGACGCTTTACAAATTGGCTTTTTTACAAGTCTTTTCCCCGGGGAGGGTGAGGGAAGGAAGACAGA